CCGGAAACATAATGCAGAAGTTGTGAGTAGAAAAATTAATTTGCGCTGTTTTCTCTTTAGTTTTCAATACATGATTCATCCTATTTATTCAGTTTTTAAATGGCGCTGCTGCATCGTGCCTACCACACATACACAACTGCGTAAAAACTCAGTTACAAAAGAAGGTAGGATAGGGAGTTTATTTCGTATGTTTTATCGCTGTTCAGTTCATTATTTTTCATTTCACAGACTCACTGTGATAGTACATCCCCTTAAAGGGCAATAATACAACGAATGCTTGGGTCACTTTTTCCTCCTCTTATTAAAGAACAGTTTAAGGGACATTTTTATGAGACTGTCCTGTCCAGATTAGTTTGAAGACCTTAAAACAACCTGGAACATTCGGTGCCAAGCAGGACGTAATGTGCCATGTAGAGTGACAATGGGTTCCTGATTTCACACAGGGGAAATGTGTAGCGAGATAGATAACTAAGCCAACACGTTATATCTTGCAAAAAGACTGCGGCCAAACAGGTGGAAAATCTGCAGTACAGAAACGGCCAACACGTTATTATTAAACTGCATTGTTCTTATAAAGTTACTTAATAAAGTTAAGTTAACGATAAGTATATGGAAAAATGAATAGCAAAGACGGAGCTTAGATTGATGCCCAATTATTTTTATTTTCAAGAGAAAAGGTTGAAAGGGTTGAGGACTAACCATTAACGCATCCAGAAATGCCTTCGGTTCTGTGGTAAAATACTACACGATGGTTGTGATCTTGGGAATGAGGCTTTTTTATTTAACATGTAACCCCAGATCATAATGAAGTATGAAATCATCCATTGACCTTGAAGTAACACTTGTGAAAACCAACGTTCAAAAGTTTGAATATGCCGCCAGCACTACTCAACACCTTTAAATGGTCTTTCATGCTTTTAGGATGAAGTATTCTCATGTAATACTGTGCAGAAATCAACTATATGGAAGTCATTTATTATTATCGTTGTTTTTAGTGAAAAACATTTCAAATATAAAAATACAGTACTGTGTCTGAATTATATGTTTTTGTATCCATAAATATGAGAATGAATAAAAACATCAAACAGATGATTTCAAACGTAGCTAGCTGGCTGGAGACGCTTAGGTTTACAGCTTTCTTAAAGCAACTGCTTTCGGATTGAAAGAAAAGCTGATTGAGAAAACTCCAACAGCCAACAAGAAAAAAGTTCCTTTTTGAAAGCTTAATTTTTAAGTCTACATTTTTTATTTAGGACTTTTGTAACTTCATTCAATTTATTTTCATTGAAGTTATATTTAAAGAAATTGTTACACCTTTCTTGAACCACCAGATGAACGATAAAGGTCACTGATCATGCAATGTTATTGGTGTTTCATCCCAGATATTTTCAGTATCTCAGGGAACAAATGACATTTCTGGAGTCTATTTAAAGTTCACGCTTGTCACTCACTCCCTCACCCTTTCCCCTGAAAAAGTTTTTACACCATGTACCTTGTGGTTTTAACTTCTTACTAACAAGTCTTTAGTAAACAGGGATTACTTATACACTTTATAGGATACATGCTGTGGGGCAATTCTACATCTCTATAAATAAATATGAGACATTTATTTATTTATATCTATGAGAAGAATGCAGAGGGCAGCTAAAGGCACATGTTTTCTCAGTCCTGCAATATAACAAGCTTCTATGAAACCTAGACGGCAGTAATGAGAGTTTGTGTTAACTGTACGATGTTTGTACTTTGACATAAGTTGGACATTATTAGGCTTCATAAAGTTTTCTTCATGGATAAATACACTAAAGTGTTCTTCAAGTAACAGTCATCCTCAGGAAATCACACAAGGCTATCTATCCTTTTTCTAAAGCATCTTAGTGTTCCATTATACGTACATTTCAAGGACTCTGCCGTTTTTATAATTTCTATGCTATAATACTTTATATATAGACAGTGTGAAAAGAGAGTGGGACGGATACAAAGCGGATGCGCAGACCTTTACTCTCCACTGCTGTCGCTCAGAAAATCCTTTCAGATATGTATTTGAAAGTGCTAAAAGGTGTAATGCTCATCATGTCCTCCATGTTGTGAGCTTTCATAAATGTGAATTATACTGTCAATAATTTAGAATAGTGTTTGAGAGGAGTTGTCTACCACAGCCTCTCTTTAACTAGATACAGAATTGGTTCCAAAACGACCATAAATCACTATCACTATGTCTTTTGTCCTAAAAAATGCAGATATGTATTTAAGTATGCCTGTGTCGACAGAGGGTTCACCCCTTTCGTGACCCCTTATCAGCACCTAATTAAACACAGACAGTTTGAGGTTCAGATTAGACTTACTGACCATTTAAATCAGCGTGTCTTGAATAGGAACATTCATTGTGCACTCTGATCAAAGGAGCATTGAATGCATCTCAATTGGTGTCAAGAGTGTTCAGTCTGGCTGTGGTTATAATTACATGATGGAACAAGTGAGAGTTAACCTGAAGGTTTGCAGTTTTGGGAAAAGCAGATACTATTTAACGGCTGATTTTGGGTTCAGCTTCTACTTTGCATGATAACCCTGAGAAATATTACGTATTGTCTTCTGGAAGAACAAACCAGAAAAACTAAAGTTACAGAGGTTAGGTCGGCAATACCTATGCCGAAATGGTAACAGCTTACACAATGCTCAAATACATACCATAAAAATCTCAGATCTGTTTCTTCTGTCCTCCATCTTTCTCTGAATCTTACACAGCTGTTAGCCATTGAAGGGAAGAAATACAATTTTCAAATAGTCTAAATAAAGAAGTGCAAGACTTCACAAAAGATTAGAAACACTCATCAAGGGAAAGCATGTCGGAGTCCTGTTTTATTAACTAACACATTGACAACAGTTTCTGTTTACCCCAAAGGCTCTTCAAAGCCGTTTAAAAGATCA